CGATGAGGATTTCTCCTCCCATAGAGTTCGGTACTGACTCAAGGACCCACAGGCTTATAGAGCTGCTGAGTCAGCATAAACTTGATGGCTGTATCAAGGTTTTTGGCTTTATGTGGAGCACCTAGTTTGTACTAACAAAAGTTGCTGCCCACATACAGAAGACATTCTGGTGTGGCAGGGGGTGGGGGTGGGGGGTGGCAGCTGGAGGGTGGGCAATTAACCGCAGATTAATGAATTGAATTTGTAACTCCAGGGAACCATAAAGTCAATGACTAAAGCAGATGAAAATGTTATATATTCCAGAAATACTTCTCATACTTTTACGCAGGGCTCTTGTGCTGCACCTACTAAAATCCCTTACTGGGGTGTAGGAAAGGATCCACAAAATGAAAAAAAATATGCTGGAAGGAAGGGGGTGCCCCTAAGAAAGATCCCAGAGTTGGCAGTTTGCGTTCAGGAAGCCAGGGCACTGCCAACAGTCCCAAAGACCTGGCACACTAGGAGCTGGCTGCAGCATGATGGGCACAGTCCTTCCTAGCTCCCCATTGCTGTCACTTTCCTTAGGGTTCTTGAATAAGGAGAGGAAGAGGACCTGGGGTGAAGGGAGGGGGGCAGCAGGGGTGACCTCAGTCCTGTCCTGCTCTTGGCTTGGCAAACTCTGGTGAGGCTGTTGCTGACTCTCTGATGGCAGTGACCAACTTGCAAGAAGCTGACCCTCGTGCAGTTGCCCTGGACCGTGCATGGAAGGCTCTCCCTAGTCAAGCATTTGGCATCCTTCCCAACCTAGTGAAATAATGCCCAAAGATTCCTTTTCCTTTCCTTCCCATGAGCTCTTAGACTGTGAAATACAAAATGGTTTTTATATCAAATTGATTTTATTTTTTAAATGCCAGGCATGCTCAACAAAGGAAAATTTTAAAAAGTGAAACGACGGTTGGAAAAGCGATTCCTATGAAAACCATATCTTCCCCACAGAGTAGGGCCAAAAAGAGAGCCAGGACCCATTTGCCTTGGGTCCCAGCGACACCACTTCACACAAGTGGCTTCATCTCTCTGGTCTCCGTGGTTTGTCAGAGTAGGACAGCAACACTTCTCCCCACCTCTCCCCAAATTCCCAAAGGAAACTGGGATTTCTGTAAATCACCATCAAGTAGTGATTCTGCGTGCCGCAAACCCCTGTCTATGGACCAGAGGGGAAGCACGTCTGCACGGAGAACTTGTCTTCGTTTTGCCACATCCATTAGTATTTTTTAAAGCAAGACTATTTTTAAAGCGTAATTTTCTTCTTTCCACGAATCTGCCTGCGGAAGGTCACACTCTCTGTGAGAGCTGGACCCTAGAAGGGGCTAGGTCTCCACGTGACCCCTCCCTCGGCCCACCGCGTGAAGTCCAGATCTCGGAGGCACTGGCTCCCATAGAGAAAGAAGCTCTCTGTCACCTTGCGGATTACTTCGTTCTCCATTTTCCTGGGCAGGGACAGGCCTGCGCCACACCTTGGGTGGTGGCTTTTGGCTCAGGGGGCACTGTGTCCTATGGTGCAGGGCGGTCAGTGGAATAGGATCCGCGAGTGTCAGAAACGCTGAGCTTGATGGTGGTGGCGGGGATTCCAAGGGCGTGTGGAGACAGGCTCAGTATTCGTTCAGTGCGGGTTACGCTGTCTGTCCGGAGCCCTGTCGGACAGGTCAGCAGAGGCAAATCTGTATCACGCAGAGGTGACTTTCCTGGTCTCTTGTCTGGTTCATTCTCGAGGTTTACTTTATCCGGATTTTGGGCTCCCCGGGTTCTCTCGGGTGGTTTCCTTGTCGCTTCCTGGATGCGACACTGATGAGGCTGATTGCCGCAGAGCAGCATTGAAGCAGGAGACTGGGGCTCCCAGATGACAGCCAGAGGTCTGGAGCCATATCTCCTCAGGAAATCTCAGGAACTGCTGGGTGGTGGTGTTCTCTTTCTCTTGAAACCCAGTATCCATTAAAAATATTTTTGCCCCTTGGAAAGTACTTTAGATTCCTCTGTACACCACGTCTAGCTGGCAATTGCACCTCTATTGAGGTAATGGACGGCCCAAGTCCCAAGGGGCTTTAATGAATAAGAGGAGTTTAGGAATTTCAAAACGAGAGATTATAATCAAAATAACTCTTATAATCGATAATAACGAAATAATTCCAGTATGTCTAAAACCTCAAGAATGAACACTTCATGAGACCCAAGCCCTTCATAAAAACAGGTCAAAGACTTTCAGTGTTCAATTCTCCCTGGAGACGCTAGGAACGACACAAACGAAATGAAGACCTGAGTGGGGGTGATCCACGCTCCCCCGCCAGCCCAGGGGCACCCTACTTAAAGATAGCGAAGAGCCCAAACCCCGAGTACCTACCCCCTCCCCCAGCTTTCCCAGCCGCCTTCCAAGAGGGAGAAGCCTGGGAACTTCAAGCAGGAGATAAAACCTTGGCGGCGGGCAAGGCCTTGAAATGCTCTCTGCTCCTGGCAACCGCGTTGTGTGAAGGAGGGAGGGGAGCGAGGGTAAATGGAACACCCTAGAAGAGCTGATCCCTGGGCGACTGCCTCCAACCTGGTCCTTGAATCTCCTTGGGGGAGAGATTTGGGGTGCCAGGTCTAGAGAAATAAGCCACAGGGGGAAAAGGCACACATTTTCCTGCCGTTGGCTCCTTCTCAGTAAAGGGCTGAGGTTTCTACACCACAGGAGAGCACTAGCCTGAGGCTAGGACAGAAGCTCCTAGGAACTGCTGACCTGGGAGTTCCTCTTACGTAAAACAGAGGCGAGGAGGGGAGGGGAGAGGGGAGGGGAGGGGAGAGGAGGGGAGAGCAGAGCAGAGCAGAGCGCAGAGAAAGAGAGGGGGGGGGGGAACGTCGAACTCCCCCACCCTTCCAAGAGGCTTGTAGCCTAGAGCCGGCTTGCCCCCCCCCCCCCATGGGGGAGGAAACTGCTCTGGAAGAGTTGGAAGGACTTGCCTGGGGCACCTAGCTAAGGGGCCTTGCACACCGACCCGCCCACCCTGCACTACCCGGGGAAAGTCTACGTGGGAGCGTACGTGTCCTTGGCTCTGTTTGTTGAGGAGGACAGTAAGTCTCAAGATTCATGCTCAGCCCTTTCCCTCCTCCATGGGTCGGAGGGTCGCTTATGGAAGGCAGCTTTAGGACAACGGGTATCGCTGAAACCACAAATCTCCGGAAAAAAAGAAGCCGGAGGGGGCACCTTCTCGCTTGCCCCGGCCCAAACTTTCAAAAACCTGATTTAGGAATTTGACAGAAGCCCTTGGCTTCACGTTTTGCTGGGCAGGGCCTCAGGAGAGGCCACCTGGATAGCTTCTCTGGATCGCCTCCGAAGGAGAAGCCTCCGATCAGTGCAGGGCCCCTGTCCTCCTCCTCCTCAGCTGTGTCTGAAGGCCGGGCAGGCTGGCCAGTAGTCACAAAACCCTCTTCCCTAGCTTTGACGTCCTATTTAATTTTCAGCCCAATTCTGGGGGGGACCACTAGAAAAGGACCCGATATACCCCATTCCAGCTACCCTGGCTCTGAGGGTCCTAGGCCTGCAGCAATGGGGGGTGAGGGGTTAATGCTCCCTGACATCTGGATTCCCCAAACGCAGGTTCGCTCTCCTCTGCGTGGGCCTCTTTGGACCTCCACACCTCTAATTCACGAAAAGATTTCCCCTGCAGGGCCGAAGTGGCATCTAGTCCTTCCTCGGGGATTTTCCTGAGAATCCCAGGAGTTGGCCATAATCCCAAGGGGGGTGAGGGTAGTGATGGTGGCTCTTCCTTCCAGTGAGCCCTGCATTCTAGTCTTGTCCTCAGCAGCCGGGATCGCTCCCAGGAGGGCTGCGATCCCAGAACCCATTTTCAACTCCAGAACCTGGTCTGGGCTACCCTCCTTTAACAGGTACTGATGCCGTGCAGGGTGGTATCCCAGCCCCCTCCCTGGCCCTTCTCATCTGGTAAAAGAAATTTGCGGGAGAAACTGTGTTGCCTTAAAAAAAAATTAACTGAAAGCGTGAGAGCCACCGGCCAGCTGTTATCTGGGACGGAAGGCTGCAGTAATCGATGGGATATTTTCACGCGGTAATAGGGCCCTGTGATTGCTCTATTAACCTTTAGACCTGTCTGAGGGACGCTGCAGGTCGAAGCCCACTGCGCCGGGGGCCTCCAGGTACTACAGCCAACTTCAAACTGCAGCCTGGACACTTCCCACCTCCTCGCTAGGGAGGGTCTTTAGTGGCTGGAAGAGCCAACCTCCCAAGGGAGCTCCGTGGGACTGCTGAGCTGCCTCCACCCCCACCACCACTGCAGGTTGATAGGGAAAATGAGGAAAGATGGGAAAATATTGGCAGGAAGGGTTGCACGTTTTATAAGGAAAGCAGTGGGAGAGCCGGACCTGGTAGCCTCAGTGCCTTGCTGTCTTCTAGGGCTGCAGGTAAGGCAGGTCTCTGCGCTCTGATTTTAGGGGTTCGGCCACAGCACTTGGCTTCTCTTTCACTTCTCATGCATCCGGGGACCGGGAGAATCCCAACTATTACCGCCCCCCAAACCTTTAGTCAGCGGTGCACACAGTTTGTCCCCACATGGAGCTGGGCCCATCCCAAGAGGTCACCTTCCCTTCCAATAGTCCCGCCCCTACCCCTAGCGTCCAGGCCGGGGCTGGACGTGGGCTTCCATGTGCCATGTCTCAGGAATAAAGTGAATCCTCGGTAAAATTGCAAACCGAATGGATCTTGGGGCCGCGGATGAAACATTTTTTGCATTGTCCAAAGAAAGCCCAGTCCCTGGACTTTGCCTGTTGGAGTCTTTCTGAATAGCCCTCAGCCCGGAGCCGGGGATGGTGCAACCACTCTGCGCTCCCCGCCTCCCGCCCTTCCACGTGACTCCCACGGGCCACTCAGCGGAGGGCGAGTAGGGAGTGGAGCGGCCAGGGGAACGACGTTGCGAACTAGGGGGACTCGGAGGCGGCTGGTCCTGTGGCCGTGAGAAGCCGATCGGCCAGCAGCTGCTGCGGTCCCTGCGGCCGCCCTAGCTCCGGGGGCGCCCCGGAAGCCTCCCTTGGCCCAGCCCTCTGGCAGTCTCCAGGCCAGGCAGGTATGGCTTCTTCTCTTCCCTCTCCCTCCCCTTGCAGCAGCCCCAGAAACTCCCGAGCTCCTCCGCCCCGTGGGTTTGGGAATAGAGGGGGTACCCTGTTCAGTGAAAGGGGCGACGGAAGTCACCGCGTCCCTCAAAACAGCCCACAGCCAGCTCTACCTTTGGTTCCGGCTCAGTAACTTCTTTAAGTTACGCTTTGGGAGGAAAGTGGAGAGGGGTATTCGAATTGTGTTCAAAACTTTTTGTGCGAATTGGAACACTTTTACTCCTTCTCCGTCCCCACGCGAACACTCCAGCCCCGTGTTTGACCGCACGGCCGGGGGGATGACGGTAGCAGAGTGAAATCACCCTGACCGGCTGACCTGGGCCACTGCCTCTCACCCGGAGAGGCGACTGCTGGGTGCGTGCAGACCCCCAGGGCGACTTTGGGGACACCGAGTGGTGGCCGGAGGCAGCGCAGCTGGGGCTTCGGCTGGGCTCCACGGGAGGAGCACCGTGTTAAGACTCTTTTCTAGCCAGCCTCCTCATTTCCCAGAGGAAGGCCCAGGGAAGGTAAAGAACCTTACCCTGAAACAAAGCGCTTCTGGGTGGAACTAGCCCCTGGCGGAGCGCTCACACAGCGCAGCCCGGCCGGTCACTCCCCACGGAGATGCCTGTGTGGAAGTGTTACTCAGCTTGGTGTGCAGTAGGGATTTTCCTGGGTGTACACTGACTTCCCCCGCGGTGATGTGCAACCAGGCTTGAGAGAATGATGGTCCTTTTGATCTGGGGAAGAAGGTGGTGAGAATCTGCTACAAGATCTGCGCCAGCGTGGACCGCCTGGGAGATTGGGGGAAACTCCTGGGGGGAGGGGTTATTTCCCATGTTTCTCACAAACGGGTGGTCAATCATGAGCAGGTTTCGAGCGAAAGAGAAGTTATTGCTGTGGTAAACGGGAGATGGTCCTAACCCTTAGGGGTCTTCGCATCCAGGGTGTTTCTGGGCATTGGCGCAGGAGACAGTAGGGATTACCCGTGTGTAGTAGATGGATTCTAACACTCCAGCATTATAAATCCTCCTACTTGCAGAAACAGGCCCAAGCAGAGCTATTGGCTACATCTTGAAGGAAGAAAGCATTTCCTGTCAACCTGTGGATTTGGGGTGAAAAAGGTTGAATGGTTAGTAGAGGGAAGACGGGTGCTGGCATGGGCCTCTACCTGGAGCCCAGACTTCAGCTGTCAGTCTCTCAGCTGCTGGGCTCATTCTGCAGATACCTAGAGGATTGTTAAATTCCAGGGTCAGTCAGAGTCAACTTAAGGGAAAAGTTCACTCCTTGTCTTTCTTGAAATATACAGTGATATTTTCCTCTACCTTTTATTGGTTGTAGTAATCCAATTGTAAAGAAATATACCAGTCATTTTAAAAAGGTAGGAAGTGTAATGGAGACAAATGTTAGTGATAGCAGTTTTAACTTTTATATTTTAAAGATAGGAAGTTATATAAGGTTATATACCAGCAACTATGCTGGAAGTTGGATTACAGAATTAGAAACCTCCTTTTTCTGAAGTTATATGAGATAAGATACCTTAGGACATTATCTTTTAGAATGGCAGGAGTTGTGTGTTACAGAAAATATAATGAAACGTGTCAACTACTTGATATAAAAATTAAATGCTGGATATTTTGTTAAGGTATGACTATATTTATTTAAGGCAGCCCAGGAATTCCGTAGGAAATATTTTTCCCCTCATTTTCAAAGGGGAAAGTTGTTTACCTCACATTAAATTGTATCCACCCTCGAACCTAACTTTTTGCTTAAGGGAAATGTCCACCAAACCAATAATTTGTTGTATATTTTCTAAAGCAAATGATAAACCACTGAGGAATTACTATGTGGCTGCCTCATGCAGTGTTACTAGTTTCATTATGATTATTTTTATTATTGATGTAAAAATAGTCAAAAGCATCGCATCATCCCAGAATTTTACACGGATAAAAGATTATAATTTCTTTCTGTATATATTACATCTGAGGCACATTCTTAATGATACTTACAAATCTGTAATAATAATAAGAACCAACAGTTCTATAGAAACTGTTTTGTGCCGGACCTATGGGATAGGGAACCAAGCAATGAGAAAATAAGACTGTAATTGTTTTACCTATTGCAATTTACAATTCTCCCTCAGAATCTTCACAGTGACTCTGTAAGACAGGTACCTTTAGTACCAGCATTTTACAGATGAAGAAACAGCGGCAAAGAGAGATTAGGTTACCTGTCTTTAAGCATTGACTGTATGACAAAGCCTGCATTCAGTATATATTCTGATAATTCAGTTAATTCTCCTTAAAAGTCTACGCTTGCATTAAATAACCCCTCCTAGATTAAAATAGCTGCCTCCACATGAGAACAGAAGAGCTTTCACACTCTAGACCTACAGATCCATTTCCCACACTCAGTGGGCCGTTGTACTTCTACCTCAGGGAAGTTTCAGAATGTCTCATGACTTAGGGGAGCTATGGAGGAAAGTGCCTGGCATCGAACAGGTGTTTCCAAGCGTGGAGTTCTTCCTTTTGTTTTTATCATCAAAATGGCCTGGGAAGAATCAAAACACAGAATGCATGTACTAAAATTCCACAAGCTCTTCGTTTCCAAGCAGTCTCCTTGGTTTTCTGATTCCATGTGTTGTGTGGACCAGTGATTATATAAGAAGGGGATTCAAAACGTTTGTAGAAAAATGGGATTGATTATAAGCGATCATGAAATTCACCTCTTCATATTATAAAGACAATCATTTTGAACGAGCTGTGATTAGTTCTGTAAATGGACTATCACTTTACTGGCCTCAATTTCTAATCTGCAAAATCCCCAAAATAAGACGCTTTGCAAGAAACATACCAATTGTTCTGTTTGGCATCCACATGGTATAAGGGGTTTCATAATTCTTACGTTTAGCAGAAGCTACAGCTTGTTCATAAACATTTAGACTACCTGGGCCTCCAGTTTTTTTAAAAAAGGTTAGATTTCTTAGTTTGCTAGTTTTTATAAAGTGTGTTGGGCTTTCCAGAGCAACTGAAACGTCTTTCATGGCCACGATGTTTGGGGAGGGATGGGGTAAGCGGAAAGCAGAGCAAGAGAGAGATTCAGTCTTGGACACTCTGGCGACCCTCTTGAACATCTAAACCGGTGACAAAAATATGCTCGACGCCTACAATAAAATTTAAAACCTTCCCTAACAAGAAATGTAAAAATATTTTACCTAGATCACAACAGTAACCAACTACAGCCTCAAGAAGTGGTGAGGCCCACGCCCTGGGAGGCCCAGACACCAGGGCCTTGGCAAAACTGGCAACGGAAACAAAGACTTGAGCTACTCCCCCGCATCGCGCGGCCTGTGGTCCGAGGGGCACCCAGACCCTGAGAACGTCCGTAGATCTGGGAAGAACGTAGATCAGAGGACTCCGCTCACCCTTTCTGTGGTTCTTCCTTTAGGACCGGCCGCCCAAGAATCGGTTTGCAGCGCGCATCTGAAGTCAAAGGACCAGACTCCCGCCCGCCTCCGCCGCCTGCGGCCCACCTCCTCGCCCAGGGCTTAGGTGGGCGTCCCAGGACCAGGGTCTGCCTTGGGCCCCGGGAACTGTGAGACCTCCAACACCGGACGCGCATTTGTCTCCTCCGGGCCCCACCACCCGGAAACCATCAAACTTTTTAAAAAACAAGAGCCTAGAGTCTTTTGCTCAAGACTGGATGTGACCTTTTGGTGTGTGGACTACGCTGGGCTCTTTTGTTTGTTTGTTTGTTTTGTTTTTTGAGGGATTTTTTTCCCACCTTGATTTTCCTTGGCTTTGTCAGTCCTTCGGCCGCCCGTATTTTCTCTGTCTGCACTGAGGCTTGGCCTGCGGGCTAGAAGGCGACCGCGAAGGGACCATGTATCAGAGCCTGGCGATGGCCGCCAACCACGGCCCGCCTCCCGGGGCCTACGAGACCAGCGGGCCGGGCGCCTTCATGCACAGCGCGGGCGCCGCGTCCTCGCCTGTCTATGTGCCCACGCCGCGCGTGCCCTCGTCCGTGCTGGGCCTGTCCTACCTCCAGGGCGGAGCTGGCGGCTCCACGTCCGGCGCCGGCTCGGGAGGCACTTCGGGGACTGCCCCGTCGGGGGCCGGGCCGGGGACCCAGCAGAGCAGCCCCGGCTGGAGCCAGGCCGGAGCCGAGGGGACCGCCTACACCCCACCCGTGTCGCCGCGCTTCTCCTTCCCGGGGACCACCGGGTCCCTGGCAGCGGCCGCCGCCGCCGCCGCCGCCCGGGAGGCCGCCGCCTACAGCAGTGGCAGCGGGGCCGCCGGCGCGGGCCTGGCGGGCCGCGAGCAGTACGGGCGCGCTGGCTTCGCGGGCTCCTACTCCAGCCCCTATCCCGCCTACATGGCCGACGTGGGGGCGTCCTGGGCCGCGGCCGCCGCCGCCTCCGCCGGCCCCTTCGACAGCCCGGTCCTGCACAGCCTGTCGGGCAGAGCCAACCCGGCCGCCCGCCACCCCAACCTGGGTGAGTACCGTGCGCGCCCCGCAGGCTTGGCCTGGGCGCGCATTGACTTTGTCATTCGTAGAGGTCAAGGGAAGGCTGATGCCTCCGAGGCTCCTCGGGCGCACTCTAAACGGGAAAGAGAGGGTGGAGAGGCCTAGGGCGATTGGGGTGGTGAAGGTCAAGTTCCCAGGAGACCAGGTTTTGTGAGGCGGGTCTGCCGGGAAGATCTCCTGGGAAAGGGAGGGTAGACGGGAAGGAGGGTCTCGTTCCTGGTGCCGATGTCCGGCCAGCCTGGGCCCGAGGAGGTGCGCTGTGCGGGCGGGGCGCAGCGGCTGCTCTGAAGGTGACTGCCGGAGGACAAGGGAGTTCACTGAGACCTGTGAGGAGCACCCCGGGGAGCCCGCAGACTGAGTTTCTGTTCCCATTTCCTCTGTGCGGTCCTCGGAGACCTCGGTGGGGAACTGATTAAATTGACTCGGGCCAGAGATTTTTCTGTGCCATTTGTTGGCCCAGTGGAGAATCCCTCCGGGTGGCAGTGATTGCCCACTGGGAGCAAAGGCGGGACAGGAGAAACGGAGCCCCCCCTGGGTGGCGGATGGACCATGTGCATTTTTGGGTGGTGCTGCCCCCACAGAGGCAGATTTTGGGGCACAGGACAGGCCAGCAAAAATCCACTCCTGCCCTTGTGCACGACAGAGGAAACTAGGAGGCTTATTTATAATGCCTGAGGTAAAGGGAGAATTCCCACAAACTGCCATGAAGCTGATGCCTACTCTTGGCCAGCCTATGGAACAGGGTAGAACTGCCTCTGTGGGTGGCTGAGACTGTCACCGGTGATTTCAAACTGCTGAACTTGCTTTGCAGCCCGATACATAACCATTAGCCACCAGGGCTCCAGTGGAAAATTAGCTGTGTGGATATGCCCAAGCCCCTCTGGACTGGGGTTAGAAATAACAGCAGTGATGGGCCCACCTTATCTTCCCATGGAATGTCAGCCTTGAGAGGCCTGCAAATTTATATATCCCTTTCTCCCCACTGCACAGGTGATGAACTGAGGGCTCTAAATCAAAAGCCAAAGTTAGGACCTTTGAGTCAATGCCAACTCATGGTCACTCTATAGGACAAGGTAGGGTGGGTTTCAGACGCTGTGACTCTTTAGGGGAGTAGGATGCTCTGTCTTTCTCCCCGGACTGAGAAAGAGCCTCTTCATTCTGGGCTAAAGAGCAAGGAAAGTGGCAACCATTAATTCAGAAAGGAGAGACTGCTTTCTTGCCTCCTTTGACCTCCTTCGTGCCTTTTGGAATTTTCAGGAAGGGAGGAGAAAATCCCATTTGGCTTGAGATGGTTTATGTAGGGGAGGAGAGACCCAGATTTAAAGAACTAAGTTAACATTTATTAACTGCCTACTAAGTGCTAAACTATTTTTGCATTTGTTCTCACTTTGAAGAGCAAAGCCTATCTCCTCCCCAGTTTTCAGTCTTGATTCCAGAGAAAGGCTCTGACTTTGAAGAGCTGTTAAATTATCCTCTGACCCTGGGTGGCCAGGGAAGGCCCCCAGGAGGTTCTGGTCAAATACACATCCCAGGTAAACTGATTAACCATGGAAATGGCGCCTGGGCTGGCTCTGTCTCCGAGTGCCCTCCTCTCCTCATGGGGGAGCCAGACAGCACGCCCTGGAGAGGCGGGCCGCTGCTGTGAGCTGTTGGGCAGATCTGGGCCAGAAGGGAGTGTGGTGTGTATCTCCATACAATGGCAGCTGGGGGCCCTTTGGCTTGGGTCGTCTTAGAATCAACTCTTATTTCATGGTCCCCATAATTCTACTTCATCTAATTTAAGGGATAACTTTGTGACCTCTATAATCTCAGTTTGAGAAATTGGTGTTTGGTTAAAAAAAGAAAAGGAAACTCAAAATTCAAAGATGGAGGATATTTTCGGTCACCAGAGTCACAGTGACAACTATGGTAAAATGTAACTTACCATGTGCATGCAAATAGAGCAGCCATTTCCCCTCATGAATTACAGCTTCATCTAGTGTGGAGCTGACTGTCGGGGAGCCCCTTCCTTGCCTGGTGTGGCCTCTCGCCACCATTTCATGAAATCCCACCTGAAGAGAGCCCCTTGGGTCTGGCCTCAAAGTTGGACTTTTCTCCTTGTACGTGAGCAGAGATCTCTGAATGGTCACATCATGAAAGTGTCCCCGGCTTTGTGACGAAACAGTGCAAGCTGAATTTGTTGGCACTCGGCTCCTCCACCTGTTCTCTGTGTGCTACTTAAGAAATGCCAGTTAAATTTAAACCACCTTTAAACTGCTTCTTATATGTCTGTCGGAGCACACGGGGCTTCCTAAGAATGCCTGCTCAGCCCTTTTGCGTCCCAGCACCTGCATTTAGCAGACCCACATGGAGCACGGAAGGATGCCGACACTGTCAGGGGTGACTAATGGTGTGAGTGGAGTCTTCCCTCTGGTTACCACAGGGCCCTGTGATGGCAGTTCACTGTGGCTGTACGGACACAGGCTTTTAGAGTCGGGTTTTTGGTTCAATTCCAGAGGCCTCTTGTGATCACAGACCAGGTACTGAACTTCTCAAAATAGCACTGTTTGTTATGTAAATGAGATCATCCCAGCTACTTTTAGTGTTGTCTTGAGTTTTAAAAAATAAGGAAGGCCAAAAAAAATAAATAAATAAGGAAGGCCCTGTTGGTGAAGTACCTGGCCTTGTCACCTAGCAAGTGATGATGGCTCTTTGGGGATACTTCTTAGATTGGGACTGAGAGATTCCCAGCATTTGGGATTTTTAGTGCTAAATGTGACAAAGCCTGTCCAACCATGGTGGCTGGTCACCCTAAACAGATAGGAAAATGGACAAATGACCCAGAAAAGACAGGAAGGAATTGCAAACCCACTGCCAGGCAGGCAGTTCTGACTGATAGCAACTCTTTTCTGGCGGACTTGAACCACTGACCTTGGGGTTAACAGCCTGATACTTACCCAATAGCACCACCACAGTGCCTTCACCAGATGTCTAGGAAATCTTCTGAAAATTTCCCCAAGTGGTCATCTTTGCATTTGGTCGTTAAGGATTAGTAGAATCTGCAGTAAAAAAACAGACACTTCCTCATTTCTCCAGTCTGTAGCAAGGCACCATAAATGCAACACCGGTTTACATAATCTGTTTATCACTGCAGGTGACCCCCTACACAGGCTCAAACTCTTAGGACTTCCAATGGAGAGAAATAAGAAAACGTTTTTGTTTTTCTATGACATATTAGCGGCTTCAGTAATAATAATAGTTAATATCTTGCTGGAGTTGTTACACTGGTAACTGGAATAAAGTAAAAATCAAAGAAATAAAATCTATCATGGTCCTCAGTCAAGTCCTGCCTTTCAATTGGAAGAAATCATTCTGCTTTGACTACAATCCATGTGAACCTTATCTGATTCCAAATTCACCATGAGCTAAGGGCCAGAAACAACTGTTGAAGTTGTTAGTTGGGCAGCATTTATGGAATTACATGATCTTACTGAGCAGGTCCAGAGCCTTATTCATATTTAAGTGCCTGGCACATGCTGGGCACTTAGCAAATACTTAAGAAGAGATCCTGGAGGTAGCGACCCAGCCCTCTGCCCTGGTCAAACCACATACAATGACTTGCTTCTGGTCTTAAAGAGGCAAACTGGAAAGCTGTCGGGGAAGAATGGCTAGCATAGGGGAGGGTTCTGGAGATCTTTGGGAACCCTCTGGAAGAAGGGTGGGAGAAGAAGTCACAAGGTGAATCATAGCTGTAGGAACAGGGTGACGGTGTAATGATATTTAAAGGAGAAACAGCCGTTCAACTTGGTGTTGCTAGCAGGTGAGCAGATACTAGGTTTGAGAACACTTTCTTATCCATGGTTGTCACTTTCTCATACATGATTGTGGATGCTTAATGATAAACCCATGCGTGGTAGTTACATAATCTGGTGTCAACTTGCTAAGGGGTAGAGTCTAGCCTGTCAATCAGGTCACAGCTTGATGACCTCATTTGGAGGCACCACAGAGATAACTAGCTCCCTGGAGGGCAGATATACACAGACTCTCTGCCTTGTCTTCCTGCCAAGAAGACACATGGAGCTACTCTAGAGGCCTGGAGCTGGAGGAGCCACATGGATGCCCCTGCCAGTGCTGAGATGCTTACACCGCCACTGGATCCCCAAGAGTTCCCACCCACTGGCCTGTGATCCTCCTGCATTTGGCATCATTGCATATGTGCGTGGGTCTGAAGAATAATTTATAGATTGATATTGGACATATGGGTTAATATCAGATTTGTGGATTTGATCTGGACTGGGCTGGGATGTTTTCTCGAGCTTTTATATAAAGCTCTTTCTTATACACATATGGGTGTCTCTGGATTTGTTTCTCTAGTCTACCTGGACTAACACACCAAGGGAACTGAAGTGTTGAATTAGAGGCTGCACTCCCTGAGGGTTTGCATTTCAAAGGGGATACATTTCATGTCTTTTGTGTGTGAGTGGATTTTCTATAGCAGGATAAGATAGTTCTTTCCTTTTATGCAGCTCATGCCCATTGGTTGCACAGGTATATAAATTCGTCAAAACGTATTGAAATGTACACTTAAGATGGGAGTATTTTATGGCAAAACCATAAAATCAATACAGGTTAAAAAATCAATACACACAATCGATGTATGTATGGATTGTGATAAGAGTTGTATGAGCCCCAATAAAATGATTTAAAAATAAATAAATAAATAAAACAAGTGCCCAAAAAATCAATACAGGTTGATACTATAAGGCAAAAAAAGAGACTGAAATGGAAAGCATATGTAAATATACTCTGAAGCAAATACCATGATGTTACTGGAAAGATTATGAAAAATATTTTAGGATGGAATAACAATTCTTTTGAGTGATATAGGAACAAGCAATGAGAAAACATTGTATTTTCAGAGGATCTCAAAACATTTTCATCCTTCAAAGGGTTAAAGTCATACAGTAAAATACAGATGTATTTTAGTAT